TGCCTTTACAGTGGGCCTGTTGTCTTTCTGTACCTAAGATAACATCTTTAACCCTTTTTCCAGAGCAGAGCTGAAAACTGCAAAATTCCTCATTATTATGTGTATCTCCTGATTAACACCTCATCTGAACGAGCGAACAATTGTTAGCTATCCTGCACCCACCTGTGTGGGAGGAGTACCTGTCTCTCCGATGTACTTTTATCCAATCCCAAAGATTTCACCCGCTTTGCTTTCTCCCACCCCCTTCATCTATCACCAATGGATTTCATGTAGCCTTCCTCCTTTGATTTTATGCATAAAATAAATTACAAACTGCCATTTTGAGGAGCATTTTCTCAATTTGTTGAGATTTTGCTTCCCAGCAATTGTCAACAGTTTGGCTCAAATAAACTCTTATAAGTTTTCTCTTAGGCTGGATATTTTTCGTCAACAGATGAAAAAGATTATTTCAGGCAGAATACATGGAAATGTGCTGAGGTATAAAAAAGCTGGTGAACAATGCGTGAAGAAGAGGAGGACGGTGGGGGATGGACGGGGCAGAGTCTGAAGGGCAGAGGGCAGAGAAGGCCAGGGTCTTCCTTGTACCGGCAGTGGGAGGCTGCTGGACAGTTTTAAGCAGATAACCTGCTGAGATCCAGGTTTGAGAAAACACTGACAGATGTCTGAGGACCTAGAAGAGACAAGACTGAGAGCTGTTAGTCGAACTGCTTCGGAGTGGTTGGTGCAGTTCCACTGGTGTTGGGGATGGAGGAGGAAACGGATCAGGGAGCCATTCAGGACGGATACTCAACGGTCTGGAGGCTGCCTGGGCATGGGAAGGGAAAGGCGGACAGAGGCTGAGGTTTCTGAGTTTCGGTTGCCTTGGTAACGCCCTGCCGTGAAGTAAGGGATCCACAGGATATGGTCCTTACTGATAGAGAGGACCCGTTTTAGAGGAATAGGAAACTTAATTTATCAAGGCCAACCATTATTTCCTACATAAGTCTGTGAGAAGGAGCAAGCGCCAGATATGCTCAGAAAGAATGGCGGAACTGTACTTGAAGGCGAGCACAGCAGAAAACGCACAAATAAACCCCTGCCACGAGGGAGGCAGGCTCTGCTTCTTCCCCGTCATCTCAGATGTCCAATTAGGCCCTTTTTTGTGTGTGTCTGGACATGGACCAACGGCAAAGATACCTTATCTCCCACTACCAATCAATACACAATCACTTGGCTGGGAAGCCAAACCCACAGGGCTGGATGCACATTTTGTTAAGAGGAAAGCTGCTCTGAGCGAGCTGCCAAAGATGTGAACACAATACCCCTGGCTTTGTCTAAATATAGGCCAAGTACACCCTGTAGACAGGATCTCAGAAAGCAAAGCAAGATGCTGGCGGATGTGTGGAGCTTCTGCCAAATGCACAGTAATCCCCTGTCAACCAACACTTTGTAGTGACAGGCCATCCTTTTAAACTGGCCTTTTCAGGTATGTGAGGCTAGTACTGCTGTCTCCTTTGGCAGCTTAGGTGGGCTGGGCTGGGAGAAGGGCGGAGAAAGTTCATCTGCATTTTTGCACTCCACCCTCTCAGAAACAGGAGCTTGAGAGCACATGTCAAGCATTTTTCTGAGAGTTATGAAAAAGGAAACAAAGATATTCCATGTCAAGTCATTAAGAGTTGGTCTAAAAACCATGAAGAAATTCAGCTAACCATAACTGCCAAACTACTGTGAGGATCTGTCCTCTTGTGGCTGGCTCCTTTCTCTCAAATCATGTCTGTGAGCCTTTGTATATTCATTTACTTTGTCGCGCAGTGTTTTTTCACGGGAATAAACCATACTTAATGTAGCCATTCAACTAGCAAGGACAGTGGGGGAAATCACAAAGTGCCGCTGTGAATATTGGTAAACACATGAGTGCATTTCTGTTAGGTACATACTGCCAGTTTTGCAAAGTGGCTGTACCAATTCATATGCTCCCCACCAAAATATGAATCAGTTCCTCCCTTACCCACACTTGCATGTTTTCTCTTTTAAAGCCATTCTTATGGATATCTAGTGTGGCAGCTGCTGGTGATTTGAATTTGCATCTTCCTGATGGCTAATTAATTTGAGGAATTTTCTCTGAAGTCTCTCAATCTCTAGGTTCGCCTATCTTTTTCCTTTGCAATTTATTTATTGAAGAAACTGTGACCGCCTATTTCCCACGAGAATGTGAATACATGGTTTTGAGTCTATGACCTTATGGTTGTTGCAGGGTTACTGTGTTTTACAGAAGGGCTGGACTCACTGCTATTCTGTGATAACCCTGATCTGAAAGGCAGTCACTGCCCGGGGCCCACGAGGTTGCTTCCAGGCCAACTCCACAGCCCCATCCAAGTAGGAACACAGTCACTCAGAATTTTAACCAGCTTCCTGTGTCTCTTCTTATTGTTGTAAAGGGAAGATAGGAACTCTCTGTGCTACCTGGTGAAAACACTTGCAGAAGAGGCTCAGTCTGTCCTGGAAAAGTCCCAGGGGAGGCGGGGAGGAGCAGAGGGGAATTCTAATCTCCATTGCCTCTAAAAGATTGTGTGAGCTTGAGGCAGTCACTTAACTTTTCCAGGCTTCAATTTTTTTCATCTGGATAGGATGGCAAATACGTTTCATTTTTAGAGCCAATGCCAAGCAGGTGACGGTTGTTACCTAGAGTGCTATAGAAGGCCAAGTTTAAGCTCAGTGGAAAACAGCGCTGTGGTTAATTACAGGCATGGGAATAAGAGGGCGGAGGAGCAGCATCTGGCCAGGTATTTGTCACCTTCAGAAGATAGTCTCTAAGGACCCTTTGGGCTCTGATATTCTATGTAGTCTAAGTATGAGAAATCCTATTGTTTAATATGATTTGGGTTTTGGTTAATGACATATTCTAGATAACAGTGATTCCTAATTTTCAAAATAATTTAAGTATTGCAGGGCATATTTAACATTATCATAAATTTAATTTAGCCTTCTAAACGTGATGATTTTGAGACAAAGCACTTGTGGGCTCTGCAGTGTCACCAGGTTATCATAACAAACCTCAATAATCACATTAGAAAAGCCAAAAAATTCTGGATGTATTATGTCAAAGGAGCTACTATTCTATTTGGTACCGGCTGAGAAATGATGCTGACCCATGTGTGGTGTAAAGGGCATCCTGAGAGAAGGGCAGGGTTCTGTGGTACCCAGTTATCACCAGCCACTGCTATTTTTCTAACAACGAAAACAAACTGGGTTGCTCCTCAGGAAATCTATCCACTCCACAAGCAACACCTCCTGTGAAAACTGCCCTTATTCCTCCACCCATTCACACACAAGGGGCTGTGGGACCTTATTAGTATATGACTTTATCCTTTGACCAAAGTTGGACCAATGATAATCTCTCTGCTGTGAGTTTGGAATCAGGACTGGTCTGTCTCCTTTAGTGTTCAACTGGAGTCAGACATTCTCCCCGTCAAGCCATCTGTAGTGAGATGGGGCCCAGGAAGTGAAATGACTCCTCCCTTCAGTCTTTACTCCTTTTGGGTTCCTGGCTCTAGTTCTGATGAGGCTCGACTCTGCTTCGTCCTCGTGGGTTTGGTGATATCCCTGGGTCCTTATGCATTATTGTCTCACTAGAGCCTCTTTTCTAGGTTAGGTTAATAAATATTTCCTCAGCACTTCTCACAGGGGTCACACACTATGCAGGGTTAAGACATAGGCAGAGATGATGATGGAAACAAAGTGGACATCGAAGAAAGAAAAGTGAAAAGAAAGGAAAGAAGAAAGAAAGGAAAAGGAAACAGTAAGAAGAAAGAAGATCCTGAGAAAAGCGAATGAAAAAGAAGATAAACGTAAGAAAGGAATGAATGGTAAGCAAACTGATGCGGTTGCCCATTTGCTCCGAGGTCAGAACTGTTCATTTGTCCTTTATAGGGGATTGAAAGAATAAAGCACAGGACATGCAGTTAATAAAACAATGAGGTAACTCTGTTATGTACTAATATGACCACGAGGTGTTAAGTGAAAAAAGCAAGGTGCAGAACAATTATGTATACTGTGACCTACTTCTGTAAAACAAACAAGCCAGTAGTCTAACTAAACCTAGTCAAATAAAACCCAGATAAACCCCAAATGATAATCTGGAAATATACACACTAAACTGTTAAGAATGATGGCCTTTGGGGGGAGGGGGGGATACAATTTGAAGTGACAGGGAGAGCTTTCATATTTACTAAAATATTTCAGGATTATTCCTAAGTGTTATAACAAACATGTTTGACTTGTGCAATTAGAAAGGAAAACCCAATAGGAAAGATAAACTACAAAAAAAGAAAAGAAAAGATGGATGACCTTGGCCCTGGCCTCACGGGATGCTTCTGCTTCTGCAGCCATTGCCCTCTGGAGCTGGACAGGGAGCTTCACATCCTTGATTTCCACACGCTGCACCTTGATTCCCCAGTCATCAGTGGCATCATCCAGTGTGCTCTGAGAGGAAGACAAAAGGAAAGCTAAAACGGCCAGCCCCAGCCCAGAGGCCTGCGGCAGACACAGCGCCGAGGGAGGGCTGCAGAGAGGCCAGGTAGCCTGTGGTGGAAGGAACGCTGACACAGGGGTTGGCTCCCTGGGGAGCTGACCCCGGTTCTGTTACTAATAAGCTCATGCAGGCAAATTTTTTCTACAAGGGCCAGATAGTAATTGCTTTATTTTCAGTCTGTCGCAACTATTTAACCCTGACATTGTGGGTCAAAAGCAGCTACGGATAATACATAAGCCAATGAGTGGGGCTGTATTTCAATAAAACTTGACTTATTAAAACAGATGGCCAGCCGACTCCAGAGCTGACATGGTTGTGTGTGAGCCACAGTACCGCTTTGTGCTTCAACGTCCTCCCCTTTACAAGGGTAGGAATAAAATCATGCTATTTCCTATGGCTGTTGTGGGTATCCAATGACATCATCGAGTTTACACACAGTGAAGTCTATACAAATAATAAGAGTTCAGGGTTATAGTACTGTATCCTTTTTGAACAGGTCAGGTTTAATGCATCATCTATTACTCAAGCACCATTGGAAAGCGTAAGAGTCACAGGGAAGTCATGGGGCTCACACGGAGGACACAGCTTTAACAAAACCTCCACCATCTTGCAGAACAGCCCCTGGACTGTCATGCTAAAGAAAAGGGTTAAGACTAATTCTTGGAAAAACCACACAGTGGTGGGCATAAAAAGAAAATAATGCATGCATCTGATTGTTATTACCCATGAGCTGCTTGTGGGAAAAAACATCCCCTTCCATCAAGGTTGGGAAAAAACTTTCTATAAAGAAAAAAAGGCCAGCGATTTCCCCCACTTGAATTGATAAAGAGTTCTCAAAACAGCCACTGAGCCCTTGCTTCATTGCTCAGTGTCCCATGAGCGACAGCGTCAGTGGACGCCTCACCTGCATGTTGTGTGCAATTTCTTCTCTGTCAGAGAGGATCTCAGAAAGGTTCTTGGTGCCCAGGACATTCCTCAGGGTAGTCTGGGCCAAAAGACGGGTTGCTGAGTCCGCGTTGGTGATGTTTGCTACAGCCAGGGTCGCGTTCTGGACGCGGTAATAGACCACCCCGTCCACGCTGACTGTCACGGAGTCCTTAGTGAGAATCTGCAATATAAAGGGAGCCATTTCACAGCTGTCAACCATCTCTTTCTTTAATGCAACTGTAAGGAATGCTCTTCTACAGAACATCTTCAAACACTTGCTGGTTTTCTTTAGTAAGGTGCTATTGACTGATTTTCCCCCAAACTTCGTATGTCGAAACCTAATCCCCAATGTGTTGGTATTTGGAGGTGGGGGTGATGAGGTCATGAGGGTAGACCCCTTATGAATGGGATTAGTGACCTTCAAAAAGAGACCCTGGAGAGCTCCCTCACCTCTTCTGTCCTCTGAGGACACAGTGAAAAGATGGCCATGTATGAACCAGGAAGCGGGCCCTTATCAGACACCAAATCTGCCAGTGCCTTGATCTTGGACTTTCCAGCCTCCAGAACCATGAGAAACAAATTTTTGTTCTTCTTCTTTTTTTTTTTAATAAATTTTATTTAGCTGAGCCATCCTGCGACCTGTTGGCAGCTCAGCGCCGGGAATCTAACTGGCGACCCTGTTGCTCAGAGCTCACACTCTTGAGCGAGCTCTTAACCAACTACTGAGTCACTTGGCCGGTCCAAATTTTTGTTCTTTAAAAGCCACCCAGTCTATGGTATTTTGTTATAACAGATCAGATGGGCTGAGACAGAAAGTTAATTATATGTTGAAAGTTTTAATAAAATCCACTCATTTATTCATTAATTCTATTACTTCGATCATTCAACAAATAGTGAGATACCACTCAGTAGCAGGCACTGTACTAGGTACCAGGGATAAAGTTATGAAAACTCTTGGCTCCTGCTTTCAAAGAGGTTGGGGTATCGAGGGAGGCTTTATGGAACAAAGGGTGGGCAGTTGGAGGTGGCAGGGGTGATACGTGAAATAAGTCTTGAAGGAAGGAATAAACATGTTCAGAGGGTGGAGGGTAGAGTGACAGAGTATTCAAGGCAGAGAAAATAATGTGTGAAGAGGCGCAGAGGTGTGGGGGAGCCTAGGTTTGTAAGTATTACTAGACGTGTAAGTAGCACAGCATTACAAGAACAAAAAGTGAACGGGGAATGGTTTTACAGGGTGAGGTCGGGATAAAAGTATATTTACAGCATGTACCTATAAATGCTTCGTAGGACACAATGTGTCACCACTTCCTACCACCTTCAGGGCAAAGCCCTCAGTTTGGTATACAAGTCGTTGGACACCTGGCCCGTTGACATCTAGCCCTCCGGCCTCCCTTCCCCCACTCTCTCCTGCACACACTATACTAGATGAGGTGTCCATTCCTGCATGCAGCGTGTGCCATGTCCCCTGGTGTCCCCTCTGCTTGGGTATCCCGTCTTCCCTCTCTCCCTCGAAACATCAGACTGGCACATTCTTACTCAGCATTCACTGTGGCACGTTCTCTGTGAGAGTCCCCTGACGCACTTGACAGAGCACACCCTTCCCTTTGTGCCTCGCTGCAATGACATTATTCGTTACTTTTCTATTAGATAGGAATTTCTTGAGGGCAGTTTGTCTCTGAATCCCCAGCATTGGCGGAGGGCTTGATACATAGCAGGTCATCAGTAAACGAGAGATAAAGGGAATTGAAACGTGGTCCTAGGAATACAGTGAGTGATGAAGGGCATGGGGACGAGGATGAGAAGGCCTGAACTGTAGTTCCAACTCTGCCTGTCCCTGCCTCAGTGACTTCTAGCTTTCAAACTGTTTGACCTGGAGAGCGCTTTGTAAGAGGGGGCTAATAATACTGCTCGATTCTACACAAATTTCTTGAAGATCAAGTAAGATGTTTGTGAATGAAACCCTTTTGAAAGGATAGAGAGCTATGTAGGTGGAAAGTAATCACAAGAATAATATTACACAGCTGTTTAGTCCAGCCAGGCATCAAAGCAGTAATCCTTTTTTTTTTAGGAATCTAAATATACTTCTAACTTGGAAGAGAAGTGGGGGTGGGGGGTTGTAAATAAACGTATAGTAGATTACCATCTTCTGTGAAAACTATTTCCCATGATGTGATGGGAAAATGTGTATCATTTCTAAACAAACTCTTGCCACTGTGACTTTGCTACAGCCAGAGCTCTCTAAGGCCACAGCCTCTCTGTCTGCTGTTTATCTTAGGCAGTGTTTATCTCCCACTGCAGTAAGTTCACAGGGGATCGGAAAAATGAGTGCCTGCCAAGTTCCAATCCACTCTGCATTCAGCAGCTCGCAGGAGAGACGACAGCAGCTGGAAGGCAGAAGCTTACAGCAACCCTGCCAGATGCCTGCGATGTTTATAGAGGAAAATGCCAGAATTCCCGGCAGCCCTGAAAGGGTGCTCCTTCTGAGAGTCAGTTATCCTTGAAAGGTGGGAAAACATGACGAGAATACAGCGATGCTCAGGTCTTGTTTTGGGGGGTAAAAATGATTTCTGGTGTCCCTACATAGGTGTGAATTATAAAAGTCTGACCTCACCAACTGCTTGGAGCAGAACCAGCAAGGAGGTTCTGAGGCTGGTTTCGGGATTTTGTGACAAGTGGAGGCAACGTGGCTAGGCTCCCCAAGCCTGCTAGATACCTGGCCTTCGGCCAGGAAACAGTGAGTCTTCTGTGCCCCCCTCTCACTGTGTTTCAGGCCTTCTGTCTGCAATAGTTACTATGCCTCCTTAGACATGAGTGCCAGGATGGCACCACTACTTGAAGGGCCATGAGGGACCTCACGTAGGACGCAGTGAGCATGGGGTTGTGGAAAAAGCACTGGACAGGGAACGTGAACGGCTGGATTTTCACCCTGGCTCTGCCTCTGTGATCTGGGGGGAATTCCTTTGTCTCACAGCAGCCAAAGACTTTCTAGGGATTCTGCTGTGAGTTTCAACTGTGATAATATTTGTGAAGTAGTTTAAAATAGCATGAAACAATTACTAATCTAAAACAGTATATGCTGTATCTAAAATGCAAAAGGAGCAGTTTCTAATTCTTTGGCAGCTAGCCAATTTATCTAGAATAAAATCAAGAACTTCAGAAAGAAGGATATCGTACTAAGTAGAGTTTTCTGTCAGAAAACCCAGAGGAGAAATGTGGTGGTAAAAATGACAATACAGTGATAATGCTAACATTATACTTACATCAACATGACACTATGTTTTGTGATAATAATCACTTACATAGCACTGAACTATCAGTTCTTATTTGAAGCACTTGACGTATAATAACTCATGGCGTCCTCATAAGAACACTATAAAGTAGGTCCTATGATTATAATCTCTACTTTATAGATGACAAAACTGATGCACAGAGAAGTTAAAAAACTTGCTCACGGTCATACAGTTAGAAAATGGCAGAGGCACACAGGCTCTAAACCTACAGAAAGGCTCCGTGTCACACATCGCTTCTGGTATGGAAATTTCTGTCAAATAAAAACATTACAGCGTGTCCTCATCCACCTTATTCACTGGATCTGACACCATGCGACTTCTGCCTCTTCCCCAAAGTCAAAATGATTCAGGACATTGAAGCAGCCACAACAGCGCAACTCATGACACTCACGAAAGAGAACTTTCAGAACTGCTTCTGAAAGCGGCAAGAACAATGGGATGTGTGTTTGAAGTGAGGGGGTGTATTTTGAGGGGGATTCATGGCAATGTGTGTTTTACTCTAATAAATTTTTTTATTTAAACATTTGCCATGTTTGTTTCATCACACCTCGTATGCTCTAACCACTACACTATGCTGCCTCACTGTGAAGCACTTGCACACACGGTACCTCAGTGATTCAAAGCAAAAGACCGCTTACCTCCTGAGGAGGAATGTCAAATGAAATCGTTCTCATGTCCACTTTGATGAAGCTGTCCGTGCATGGCAGAACAAAAAACAAACCTGCAACCAAGAACCATGGAAGATTACAGAGAGATACCAGCACCTCATGGGTTTACTTCACCATTCAGTTCTAATGGTGTCAACCTAATCAACAGTAAGTCACCAATTCATCGCAGTGAATGAGCCAGAAGCCAAGAATGTTGTCCTTGACTCCTCCCACTCACTTCCCAACTCAAACTGTCCCCACACCAAGGCCTGTGGGTTTCATTTCCTCTCTCCACTGTGACTATCATTCTTCTGTTTTCACTTAGGCCTATGCAATCACTTCCCAAGTCATCTTTCTATTTCTTCCATTTTCTCTCCTCCGATCCATGTTCTAAGCTGCAAGCAGGGCAATCTTTCCTGAAATAGAAAACCCTGAAAAGCCATACAAGGTTCTGCACGACCTGCCCCAGCTCCCCTCTCGGCGTGCCCTGCGCTCTGGCTGGGTGAGCAGCCTGCCTTCCTTGAGCTGGAAACACTGTCCTCCACATTGCTTTGTACGGGTTGCTATTTCTGGCAGGAATACCTCTCGTCTGGGCAATATCTTTTTGTTATTTATTATTATTATTATTTTTTTTTTATTGGGGCACTGGGGTATGGGAACAGTGCTGGGGAATTGGGGGAAGGGGAACACAGACAAGTTGCTGTCCTTTTGTTCTTCAGTCTAGTTGTGGAGGACGTTGCTTCACTGGCCCAAGTTAGCACCATCATTGCGCTCTTCCCGGGTGAGGCAGATCAGTCGCCGGCTTCTGGACGGCCGCTCACTGCGGCTGCTGGCCGCTCACGCTGGCTGCTGGCTACACATGGTAGCCCATGGCAACCCACTGCCACAGGGGCTGCAGCCTACGCCATTGCCGGCGACTCACAGCAGCCCAGCTCCAGGTTGAGCTGTTGTTCAGCATCTTAGCTGTGGAGGGCAGTGTCACTGGCCCTCATATGTGGGATCCGAACCGGGGCCCTCTGGCGTCCCAAGCCAGTTCTTAACCATTGCACCACTCGGCCGGCCCTGGGTAATATCTTTTCATGTCCAGACTCAGCCAAGTTGTCACCTCCTGAAGCCTTGCCTCATCCTCCTAGTTTGGATCGGTCACTCTTCTCTGGGTTTCCACAGCTATCCGTGATGACTTGATCGTCATGCTTATCATATGGGATTGTAACCAGCTGTCTCCTTGCTGGTGTCCCACCACTAGACAGTAAGATCTTTGAGGGGCAGGGACTGTGTTTTAGTCTCCTGTGAATTCCCGGAGCCTGGAACACAGTAGCTGCTTAATCGACATCTGCCAAACAATATGACTTAAAGCCTTTATTTTAGTAGGTATGCTTATGCTCAACCTTCCATAACCGCAGCTATTCCTTGCCTACAGTAATCTTTATCAGCTCAGATGGGAAGGGGAGGGGAGAGAAGGGAAGGGTAGGGTGACTTCAGCAAGACTGGCTAGCACCACTGCTATTGTTATACAAGCTCATTTTCAGTCAACAGAGAAGAGGCCCTCCCTCATACAGGAAATCACATCAATAAAAGGAAGAATTTCGGTCTCTGGAATTCTAGTACCGACCAGGTCCTTTGGCTCCCCCTTGCACAATGCGACCCAATCTAAAGATGATGGCTCTTTCATATTCTTTCACGATCTAGATTAAAAACATAAATAATAAGTTAATATGAGTACAAGTATTTATATGCATAGCTTTTTAAGTATTTCTGCTCTAAACAGGTTACATGCCTTCATGTTTTTTTCTTCTATAATCCAGACAGTGTCTATAAATAATATATCCAATGTTTAGTACCCCCACCAAGTATCCTTTTACTATTATTTTTTACTGATTATAAAAGCAATAGATACTCATTGTATAAAATTTGGAAAGTAAAAAATAGTATACAGAAGTAACTCTATAACCTCACTCTTCAGATGTTAATATTATTATTCAATTACTCATGCATTGTCAATACAGAAAAAAAAAAAGCTAAAGTCCTCATAGTTTGTCTCCGGATTCCTTAAATTATAATAATGAACTTATCTGAAAATTCTTGGAGAATCTGTTTATCTTTTTAGGAATATGTAAACGATAGTCATTTATCAAAGTATTAATAACTTTATAGAAAAAATAACCAGCATTTGGGAAGCACTTATCATGTGCCAAGCATTATGATAAGAACGTTTAAATACATCAATTCATTTAATCCTCAAAACAGCCATATTGAAGTGGGTATTATTATTTCCTCCCATTTTACAGGTGAGAAAACGTGGCAAAGGTCACAGCGTAAACAATGGAGCCAGCAGTCCCACCCGAGCATCCTGACTCTAAAGAACTTATTCTCACATAACCATCCCATATCCCGGACTCCAGAACACTTTCAATGGTGATCTTCACTTTAATCCTCAGAGAGGACTGACTAAACAATGCTGAAAAAAAGTTTTAAGATTCCATTATAATAGGTGACTAGGGTGACTTTTTCAAAAGAGAGATGAAGGAAAAGGAATTACAGGCCAGTATGGATGGTGTCTGTCTCTTACACACTCACACACACACACACACACACACACACACACACACATGCCAACACAAAGTGGGTTTATGTAGTTAGGAGTCGACATCTTTCCAAATGAAATGAAATATTCTTTACCTTTATGCACATCCATATTGAAAATGGGAAAGTTGCAACTGTGAACAACAATGAGACCATCACCAAAATCCATCCACAAAATCCAAGGCTTGTAACAGGGGTTTCTGTGAAAACAAAAAACACGCAGCTCTTATCATTCTTACTATGCACGATCACCACCATCTTCATCCTGTGAACACCTATGCTTGGCATTATATAATACTAGATGTTTTCACATGAATTTTTGCATCTAATCCTCATAACTACTTGAAGTGTAGGTACTACGTTCTCTAATCTACTTAACACGATAACACAAATATTTTTCACATTACTCTTTACTTTATCCAGCAAACATTTATTAAGCACCTCATATTGATTATGACCTGTGCTTTGCACTGAAGTGGTAAAAGTGAATAAGACCCAATCCCAGCTATCAGGAAGATCATAGTTTAGTGGAGAAAATAGATAAACATAATCATAATACTAGATGGTAAGTGCAGATATAGAGTATCTGTTCAGAATATTTTGAAAACACAGAATAGGAGTAACTCACACAGCTGGGATAGAGGTGAGAGTGGAGTGAGGTGGGGTGGGGTGGAGTGGGTAGGTGATGGTGGCGGTTGTCAGAGGGCCTTCTTATACGCTGTAATGGTTTAGGAAAATACCAATCAAAGGGGGAAGGGAAGAAAATACCAATGAAAAGGAAAAGGGAGGAAAAAAGGCACTTAAGCTGAGGGCACAGGGTAATTAAAGGTGAAAATCATATGCTATACAAGGATAAACTCATTTAGAATCTCTTTTAAAATGACACATGTAAATAATTCACTAGGTATATGCACCATAATTTATTATCCATTTCCTGATTAGACTGGTTGCTTCTGATTTCTTAGGATTATAAACAATGCTGTAATGAACAACCTTGTACATAGTTTTTCTCTCCCATTTCTAATTGTTTTACTTTTCTGTAACATGAAATAGCTTTTTGTCTGATTATAAAGATAATTCGTGACCCACTGCAAAAATTCAGAGTGCAAAAAAGGGAAAAACGAATCAACCCAGAGATAATATTATTGCAAATCTTTTCCTTGTCCATGTTTTTATAAATAAAAATTGTAACCTATTTTCCTTCCCTGTAGGTGTTGTTCTTTTACCTTCCTTTTTAGCCTTTGCTTCTATGTGTTCATGCTTTTTGTTTTAATTTTTTTATCAGTTATACTTACATCACGTTAAAACAGTCAAATAGTTCTACAAGATTAGCACAAAAACAGAGCAGTTCCCTGCTCACCTCTTCCAATTTCTCCTTCCTCAAAGGCAATTGCTTTTGGTTGAGTATTTTGGTATTTACTTCCATGTTTTCAAATATTATAGTATGCTTATTTTGTTACTTCCTACCTTTTTTAGTTTTGAGCATTATTATCTATTGACTTTCTGTTACGGAAGAGGGTTTAGTTCTCTTTCCTCCTGCTCCCCATATAAATATACACATCCTTCCAATTACATCATAATTTTGGTAAGTTCAAAATCAAATGTTACATTATCCTGAATATAGAAATGCAATTCAAAGCTAAGCCATACAGTGAAGTATACTGGTAGTTTTCCTTTCCTGTACTTTTTTTTTTTTTTTTAAGCTGAGCCATCCTGCCACCTGTTTGCAGCTCAGCGGCTGCTCAGTTCGGGCCAGGAATCGAACCGCTGTTGCTCAGAGCTCAAACTCTTGAGCGAGCTCTTAACCAACTGAGCCACTCGGCCGGCCCCTTTCCTGTACTTTTTTTTGTTTTTGTTTTTTTCTGGAGTCAAAGCCTTGTTTTTTTTCCCCTTGGCTCAGTTTTCAATATACTTATTGATTCAACCTCAAATTTTTCATCAATTGTCTATAAATCTCCTTTTGGAAGGGTCAGGCATTCTATCAATTTCATCTTCCGTGAAAGAGTCTCTCTTGGAGTCATGTCTAGACTCATTTTCTCAGCTGGTGCACACAGCTATCACTCTGTGATTGCCTTCCACTACCATTCTGCGAAGTTCCCTTCATTCCAGTGTTGTGTTTCCCACTTCCTGTACCCAGCGTCTTCCTCATTTTTATTTATTTTTATTTTTTTAAGATTTTTATTGGGGGAATTGGGGGGTGGGAACAGACAAGTTGCTGTTGTTTTGTTCTTCAGTCTAGTTGTTGAGGACGTTGCTTCACTGGCCCAAGTTGGCACCATCATTGCGCTCTTCCCGGGCGAGGCAGATCAGATGCCAGCTGCTGGCCGCTCACGCTGGCTGCCAGCTACACACGGTAGCCCATGGCAACCCACTGCAGCAGGGGCTGCAGCCTATTCAAACTGGGAAAGTATGGTAGGAGTTCTGAGAATGAAATCTTATATTCCTACAGAGGAAACCCTCTTAATTCCAGCGATGCCTATTTATAGCAAAAGACAGTCTCTAGACTCTTTGCCACACTCAGGTCTATGTTTCCAAAGTAAAATGGATTCCAAACAAGGAACAGATTGGCCACAAATACTTAACTGACAGCATTTGGTGCCTTCTAAAATATTGCCCCAAGTCTCCCATATTCTAGGCAAAGTACATAGCTCTGTGTCTCCAACATGCTAGACTATAAACTCCCTGAATGGGAGTTTCAGGAATGTTTCTTCCTTTTATTTTCCTAGTTGAGCCATCCTGCCACCTGTTGGCAGCTCAGCAGCTGCTCAGCTCGGGCCAGGACTTGAACCGCTGTTGCTCAGAGCTCACACACTTTTTTTTTTTTTTAAGATTTTTATTGGGGAATTGGGGGATGGGAACAGTGCTGGGGAATTGGGGGAAGGGGAACAGACAAGTTGCTGTCGTTTCGTTCTTCAGTCTAGTTGTGGAGGACGTTGCTTCACTGGCCCAA